TCATATTTTTGTTATTTGTATAAAAAAATTTAACCATTTGAATCGAACGGAATTATGTATATGAGGACCATCTGTCCAAGAGTCAATCACAGGGGACCAGTGGCGATCCCTGAGGGTGGCATGATTTCAAGAGTACTATTTCTCGCTAACTCATCAGCTCCGGGTTTACCGCGATGTCCCAGGGGCCTGGCACTCATATACGTCTAATTAGAAAAATTATTGCATCATCATTGAACTCCGGGCACTGAATGTCGCTTGGCTATCAGAGTAAATGCTTGCGTCCCTTGAGGAGTGTACCAACTGCTTCCCCTTCTTCAAAAATGCTACAGTCGGCAGGAAGCCAAAACTTGATATTAGGGGAGACCACCCTATGAGAGACTATAAGCCCAAAACTGGTGCCATAGAGCCGAGAATTACTTTAGGCGATAGACCAATAGCTCCCCTGCACGAGTATAAAGCAATAGATGCCTTCCTAACTCTTTTCTTAACTCTTTAAACGCTAGTGTTACATATGTGTAACGCTCGAATTTCGCGGACTAATATTTTTGTTAGGAAAATTTTTATTACATAACAAAGATTCACGAGTGTTACATATATGTATGTTTCAGGTCGTACAGACATCCCTTGATAGAGGTCGCAACTTTTTGTTATGGGTTTTTGTACATATCCTCTCTTTTAGTATCCTCCAAAATTTGGTTCCTCTTTTGCTTTCGCGTTTCTCCCGCATCAAAAGCATACTCAATTTCTCTCGACCAGTATACCTTATATATATTAGTAGCCTGCTTATTAAAGCTCAATTTTATGTTCGATTGCGACAAGGCCCTGAAATCCTGAATTTTGCATATTAGAAAAAACTTTTCTATCGGTGAATTACTGCATGTGTCGGTATTTGAAACTGAGACACATGGAATAATAGTCGAGATCTCTACCTACTCGGCTACGCCAGTCAAAAGCATCGTAGAACCTCGTAAGCAAAAACACGATACGTTTTTTGCTAAAGGAGTCCGACTTACTGGTAATATTTAAATGGATCGGGTAGAGAGTTGTATTTTTAGACATGAATCCGAAAACGGATGTCACAGGCTGATTAATGATGATCGGTTGCCCCTATTCCTCACGTTACCGATACATTATTTTATCGGCAAATTGTATTACCTTTAGCTTCGGACTTTTGTAGAAATGTATTGGTTTTAAATATGACAATATCATTGTAACCAGTATATTTATATCAGTAACACAATTTTTGTCAAAGTGAATAGACCTGTTAATTTGTTTTTTTTTTTTGTATTTTATAAAAATCAAATAACATTTATAAGTTCCACGCGCTAGTGTAGCGGGCGTGGTAGAACGCAAAACCTTACCATTTTTCATTTTTTTCATACTTTGGTAAGGTCAGTTTAGGACAGCTCCAACCAACAGACATGTAGATTAACTATACTTTGTATTGCCATTCAGAGAGGTAAAGGATACGAAGCAAAAGGTGACGCCTAAGAAAATGCTCCGTTCCAACAATAAAACTCCCCAAGCGGCTAATCGCTAAAGCTTCTTTGTCAAAAGTGTAGCATAGACTTATGTACATTTGTATGTATGTATGTATGCATGTATACACATATGTATGTATGCACTAGTACCTACATATTTAACAAATTTCTCAGCATGTTTAATACTTTTTCCCTCAGATTTTCCCCTGCGTGGTATTCGTTTAATGTATATTTATGGAAGACTGTTCTCAAAGTAATCCGCCACCAGTCGAGGGTGCACTAATAGGTATAACCATTAAAAAGAGCTACTATGAATAATAAACCATTCTTGGGCTCGATATTATTAAACTTTTTATATAATTTTATTTAATTTCAACTGAGACGAATTCGGTTTAAAGGCTCCTCAAGCAATTTTGTACTATCCTTTTTGAAAGAAAAACCCCACTTACATACATATTTATGTGTGTATGTACATGTGTACATGTGCAAACTATATAAACACATGCATCATAATTATTTTTAATTGTATGCTTCTTTCTTCTTTTCTGGAACCCTTGCTAATGTGCTGAGTTCTGGAACAATTTGTATTTGGTTAACAATTCATACTCGGGTATGGTTCCATACAAAGTTAGTTAGTTGAAAAGCCCTATTAATTCGATTCGGCCGCATGCCTTTAAAGATCGTCGTCGGGGCGAACGACGAGCCAGCGACAGCGTAATAAATGCTGTAGTCAAACGCTAGTATGTACCGATGTAAGCACAATGGCCGGGCGAAGCGCACAAATGAACAAATTAACCAACGTTAAACCAAAAATGTTTCATACATACATACATACATACTAATGCACATATGTATGTACGTGTATGTACCCTGCAAAAAATGGGACTAATCCGGGATGACTCCGGGAGCAATCGCAAAGGAACATGCGACTAATACCATTTTTGATCTCTTTATATGGAATGAACTGTTCGCTTTTGTTCGAGCATGTCCTATGAAGAGACTAATTGATCACCTTTATACCCGAAAGGGTATAAAAAGCGACTAGTCACTTTTAAAAAATAAAAATAATAATTTGCGCCAGCTGAGATTCGAACCGGGTTGCTCAGTTTTGTTAGGCGAATACTCTCTCTGTGTGCCAACGCCGCACATGAAATTTGATTGACTAAGTGCGTACATATCATTAAATCGTTAATAGTACCCGTTAGAGATGAGCTGGGGACTAATTGATCTCCAATTATACCCATAAGGGATGAGTCGAGACTAATTGACCTCCATTAGTACCCGTATGAGACTAGTTGCGACTAATTAATGCCCAATTGTACCCGATTGAGAGTAATCTCGGAATACTCTCTTTAGAGATTAGTCGCACAATTTTTTGCAGGGTATGTACATATATGCGATACAATATAAACGCACACAAGCACTCAAGTAAACATTGTTGTATATATGTACATACGTATCATATCCATATATATGTAGGTAGAAATGTATGTATGTATGTACACAAATCTAAATGGTTATGGATTCGCTTATGTGGAGCTGCAGCAACAAACGACAACAGTTGAAAGCGACCAGCACAAGAATTTCACCAGATTTTGTTGCTGCAAGTCTTCAGCAAGAAGTGTGGAATCGAAATTTGTACATAAAACACACAAACATAGAAGGCAGGGGCGACGGGAGAACGGCAGCAGCAGCAGTCAAGTGAGGTCGGAGCGCTAAAGCCATGAGAAATAAGTACCGTAGATTGGCAGCTCCCGCGCGCACAAATCACACGCACACACACGTACATGCTTAAAAACACACAAACACTTAAATCGACGCACAACTAGAGGAAACCTCATTGTAGCGGTGTTTGCGGCCATGATGTGAGTCCCCAACTATGGTAGTTGGCTGCACTAACACAGCGTCGCATGTAAAACACACGCATGCAAACATCCGCTACACATTACACGAAATCGAAAGAGATGTGACGATGTGCATGCCATGCGTGCGACAGAGATAACATATCGTGTATTCGCATGTGATCTCGAGTGCTTGTATGGATGTGTGTATGCAGCCATGTTTCAGCGCGCAAAGAGAGGTTGTCGCTCGCTCGAGCACGACACAAAGCGACAGCAAAACAACGCAATAGGCAGACAGAGCCACACGCATACATGCATATGTAGTTGGTAGAGAAAAGGTATAATAATAATGCATATGTTTGTACCAACAAATGTGCAAAAACGTAGCACCACAAATGCATACAGAGATAAAATGCCAAGCGACCGCTACAAACGGCCAGAGTCATCTCTGCGCATTCAGAAGTATACACACACATACAACCACCTACAAATGTGTATCCGCTTCTTACTACATTTGTTCGCCATATTGGTTGGTGTGTTGGTATGGCTTGCGCGCGTCACAACGAGGCGAGTTGGCTGATGGGGTTTCGCTCGCTCGCTTAACGCGCTACAAAACACACAGAGCTCGTAAACATACGTGTGTGAGGGAGTGATAGCGAACGAGCTGGGCCAGCAGTGCGAACGAGAAGACAGCGAACGAATTGGTTAACGCATCTGGCAGACAGGCGGGTAAGCAAGCAACATTAACGAAAACAGGCATAGCGAACTCGTTTCACAACGCAGGCTAAACCGCTTTCCACTTTGCTTTGTTGCTTTGTTAGTTTTACTGCACTGCAGCAAAAGTTGGGCGACAGCAACAAACGGCAACAAGAAAAAAACCGAAAAAATGAACTGGTAGCTGGCATTTTGTGAACAAATGGAACGAAGCGCCTGATTTGCACGCCAAGAGAAAGAGAGAGAGAGCTCAGAAGCGGCATACATATGTACATATGTGTGTATGCTTGTGTAAAGAAAACACACGTATGTATGTACGTAAATCCACTGTTTACAGCGACGGATGTGCTGGGCTGCTTATTCAATTGCTTCGATGTTGCTTAATTTGCGCCATGAAATGGCTGCTATGCGCAGCTTGTAGCTCTGTACGAGCACTTGGTGCTCTTCAGATGTCTTCGTCGTCATTGACGCTTCTGCTACCGCTGCTGCTGCCGTGGCAAAGTTTTCGTAACGTTAGTCCGAACAATTTGCGCTACTTTAATTCCAATGAGTAGCATACTGGAATAGATATAGCCCGGATGATTGAAAAACAGCGGCTCCGCTGGCTGGGCCATGTCGTGCCAATGGACAGAAACGCTTCAGCTGAAAGTATACAATGCGGGTCGAAGAGGCACCCCTTGTCTACGATAGAAAGACCAGGTGGATAAGGACTTGGCTTCACAAAAACACACAACACAAAAGAGAAACCGCTGGCGGTTACAGAATCAATCAATAGGAAAAAGAAGAAGTATGCTGTATGAAGTGTTTCCGCGGACTTAGCATTTCAAACTTACATATCCGCTAAGGCGGTTATTTTTACACAGTATATGACAAACAAGCATGGGGCCCTTACCTATTTTAATAAACCCTTTAACATTCAATCGACATTTTCCCATTTTTAGCAATGGATTTTGAAAACAAGAACTTGGTTTTTAAACGGTAGATGTTGCATGTTTATTCCAAGATTCCCACAAACAAAATATTATTCTCCCAAAATAAAGAAATACATATGTCTATTTCCAGTTTGTCCAAATTCATGTTGATCGAAATCAGACTGAAAATGTAAAAGTTATAAGTACTTAGCTAAAAATAGAGAATAATAATGTTTACCAAATTTTCGATTTTCTTAGCTATTAGTACAGTCAAATTAGGGCCGAAAATTAGTCATCGGAATGGTGGTCAGTTTCCTTTGAATACAAAGAGGCTAGTTGGTAGGTGTAAATGTAAAAGAAGAAGCCGAAGAGATCCAACAGTTCCAACTCTGCTACTTCGCCCAGATTGCTGAATAAGCGTGAACCCAAGTGCTTGAGTCGCTTCGTCTGTAGACCTGGACATCGACACAGATAGTGGTTAATTTACTCTTCCTCATCCTCATCATGGCAGCCTCTGCAGAGAGTATTCGTTGGTATTCGCCACTGTTGGAGCATTGGTGCTATAGAACGTTGTCCTGTGATGACGCCGGTTAGGGCTCTTACTGCAGATCGATTGGGTTTCAGTATGTCCTTTGTGTTTTTCCCACTCAGCCGCGGACATAATAATCTTGTGCTCTCACAGTCTTCCCGTTTGTTCCACAAACCATTCGTCACGGCCACGGTGTACTCATTAATTTTCCTAACGTGATTACTAAACCGTGGTAGTACGGAGCTATCCGCTTCTTCTGTTGGCATCTCTGAGCCGCATCTAGCATCTCATCAGCCGACTCATTCTCTTCAATATTGCTATGTCCGGGAACCCAGCATAGAGTGACGTTGATACGGCTCAGTGACGTCAGCGTGGTGCGACATTTCCATACAATTCCCAATTTCACCACTCTAGATCCTATTGCCTTCAATGCTGCCTGACTGTCAACAAAAATAGTGGCTTTGTCTTCTGGATCTTTACAACTAAGTAAAAGACTAGCCGCCCTCTCTATAGGGTAGATCTCCGATTCGAAGACACTGCAGTCTACATAAATAGTGAAAGATTTCTTTCAAGTTATGACTTGCTACTTAAGGCAAAGGTATCCATATATACACTGAGGATAAAGAGAAGCATCCGTCTAAATTTGTGACGAAAATTTACCCATGTGGACACGTCTGTATCAAAACGGCAATACTATGTACGTCAGCTCACATATACGCACGCAGCCGTGCATGCATATTTAAATGCGTTTATGCATAATAGTTGCAGCTTGCAGCAATTAACTTTGGTTGCTCTTGTTGTTTTTCTCGTAGTGCGCACTCGTTTCCGCAGGTTGGCCGCTGGCATCGCATTCGCTCTTACAAATCACACTTTGCATTGTTGGGTTATTGGCGACGTTGACGTTGAACGCTTGCAGCCCCTCATACAACCCTGCAAAAATCGTTGGATCATGTAGTCTATTTGTGGTAAATTGGAGTACTTACAAAAGTGTTCCTCTGTCATGCTGAAGCGGACCAACTGGTGTCTCTGCGCTAGCTTATTGTTTGTTATCCGATCACTGCTCGTGTTTTAACGAAACGTGATTGAAGTTGAGCATTTGAAAGCACATTTGCATGTCTGGCTGTAGCTGAAGGTATAGAGATGCTCGCTGTTAGTTCTTAGCTCCCAGCATGTTCGGGTTCGAATACCGTCAGAGGCAACATATAATTTTTAATTTTTGTCTTGGTTTTTATTAATTTCGAAAAAGTATTTGAGAAGTGAAGAACAAAAGCGTGTACAAACGAAAAAATATAGCAACAATGCCATTGTTATTATGTTGGAGTAGTTTTGTGCTACTCTGATGTAATGCGGGGATGGAGTATATGGTCCTGCCCTAGGACATCGCAATGTTAATTGGACCATATTTTTTATATGAATTGTGGTTAATTTTGGAGTACTCCTTGGTCCTTAGGGAGTACTCTTTACACGCATGCATGGAGTAGTCGCGATTTTTGCAGGCAACTACCGAAACAAATCAATATGCAGTGTAAGAGGGAGCTGCAGCGAGCGGCGGTGATCCCAAACATTACAAGCTCGCATATAGATCTAAATACATATGGATATCTATTTGTACATGCATACATATGAGCTGGACACAAAAACAAGAAACAAATAATAATAAGAAAATAGTTTTGTCGCAAAGGCGCCATACAAAAACGCATGTGTGTGTTCGTTGCGTTGCGTAAACTCCACAGCTACGGCTGCAGCAACTCTGTGTGGGTTCGCTCGCATTTGTACACACATACACACATTCATAAATATATACATACATATGTACGTATATACATATTACAAAAGCAAACAGATTAGGCTCGTTTTTGTTGTATTGCAGCAGCGCAGCGTTTTTTTATCCATAAAATGTCATTTATTAAGCAGGCATACATACATGCATACATATGTACATATGTATATACATATGTACATATGTTCATACATACATACATGGGTCATTCCTTTACAAACCGCACGCATTTTTTGGGAAAAAAATGATGACGACCGAATGAGCTTTACGTTTTAACAAATTAAGAAACATTTTTGTGAATTTTGCTGAAAGTTTGTTTTTCATAAATATCGGGGCTTTATCTGCTGATTCGTAGGATTTACTTTAATACCCTCCAGTCGATATCTCGAGGTCTACTGATCGGATCAATGTGGGGGGTGAAATAACACAAACGGCAATAACGCAAATTCGTGTTATTTCGCAATAGATATAGAATGTGAAATAACACAAATTTGCCCTATTTCATTTCTCGTTGAGCAATAAGACCAACTTTTATACTTAACCATTTGAGTAATAAAGCAAAATAGTGCACATATGTAGTCACACAGTTACATTTGACAAAAAGTAGTACATGAACAAGTTAAATGGAAGGATTTGTAAGTATACAATTTTGAAAGTGCCCGGCGTCGCGGCGGTCCGCGTTCGCTCGCTGTCCCGCGCCACCCCGCGCCGCGCCGCGTTCGACGTCGCGCTCGCGTCCCCCGCCCCTCCCCTCCTTTCGCAATTATGTACTGGTGCTATGTCCAATATGCGGAGCAGTTTTTAAAGGCAAGGTTTTTACTATATTTTGTTAGACTTTTCATAAGTAAAATTATTTTATGAATATTACTTTCTTCATATGAATTATATCACATTTTTTGTTTAATTCAAGGCCTATCAAACAGGTTTAGAGCATTTTAGCAAAAAAAAAAACATTTGCCTGTATTTTGTTGTTGCTTCTGGTATCGAAGGTGCCAAAAACTGTTCTGATTTTTTTCTTCTACATCAAAGCGTGCGATGCGAAATACGAAAAAGGTAACAAATTTAAATTGAAAAAATGAAAATTGTTGCAACTTTCTTTCTTAGTAAATTGGTTCGCTTCTCGAAGCATTGATCCATCCTGTGCCAGGCCCAGTAATCAGCGGTTGTGCTGCTGACTTGGGCGAGCTTTCCAAAAGCTGCTATTTAATCGCTGGTTTTGTATGGAAAATGTTTCACATGCAAATAGATTTTAACAATTTAGAATTTTTGTGAGAAGAAATGTAAAATATTTGACATTTTCGAGAACAAATAATTTAAAAAAAATCAAATCAGCTGCTATACTCATGATAAAAACATAACAAGGTAAAACCATTGAGAGGCAGTCTGACGTTTGCCAACAATATAATTTTAAAATCAAAACTCAAACTCACACACACATTCTCATTTTCAATCTCAAACAACAACAATTGTGAACAATTTAATTTTTTTATTTTCAATTTTATATGATTTTAAAATGTTGGCAAACGTCAGAAAAAAATCATGGCCGACGAAATGAGAGAATGAATTTACCTTGTAATGTTTTTATCATGGCTATACTGATATTACCTGTTCAATGTGCCTTGGTTTAATTGTATTTTTGGAATAAACAAAGTTTTTTTTCCTTCAGTAACTTCCGTCAGTAAACTGTTTTTTTTTTTTACAAATAGTATAAATAAGCAATGGGAAATAAGGCAGATTTTGGTATTATTTCCCATTTAAAAGTGAATCCTGCGATCAATGTCGGTATTTTATTTTTATTTTGCACTTTGTTACGTAAGCTTTTAAAAATCATCAAACAAATTTAATTGTTAATAAATAATAAATCAAAGTCATTTTTAATTCAAATTGAATTGGTTTGAAATGCACTCGGAAGTGATTTGTGGAGTCTGCCTAATTGAAATCTATATATAAAACATGCTTTTCTCCCACCTTGAGGTGATTGCAAAAAAATATATTGTTCTTTATTCGATTATTAACAAAATCCATTTTACCAAAAGGTTGTATCTCTTTTGTGGATCGGAAGATATTAATTTTTTCGAAACGTAACTCACTAGAAATCAAAGCGCGGATCTCGCAACGACTCGTAGAGATGGAACTTGCAACCGAGAAAAATGTTTTTCAGAAAAAAATCCAGAAATACGTGTAAAGTAATTTTATGCATAGAAATCATAAAAGAAAATTCAGACTATTTAAAATGTCATGTTTGGAAGGTGTGCGATTTTAAAAGAATGATCCACATACATATGTATATGAGTACATATATGCAGCACTTGTACTTAACACATTGTCTATAATAATTCCCGAATCCAACTTAATACTGTTCTGCATTCTAGAGGTGGGTAACTCAACTCAGAGTTGAGTTATTGAGTTGATTCCTATAAGTGAATCGGTAACTCAGACTCCCTGTCCAAAAAAAATGTAACTCAGTAACTCAGTTGATGCCGTAGGGCTCACATTAATCAATTGAATCATAGTGGCTCATATTTGTCCATATAACTCTCTCGCTTCGCCACAGTGTTTAGCATGGCAAAGTCTTGCATTTTGTTTTTGCACGAGGCGAATTTATACAAGGTGGTGGCAAGAATACAACAACAACAACCACATGTATTTTGTATTGCGGGTGTTATGTCAAATCTCACAAATTCTTATAATTTCGTTTTTTTTTTAGTTTTTCTCGAAATATGTATGTATGTAAGATATATAAAGATGTGCATATCAAATCAATTGCCTTTCCAACCATATCCACATTTTGAAATTCGGTACAATAGGTTTCAAAATATAGGCTTTTGAAAATATTGAAAATTCCACCTTTACCCTCCCCCTAGCACCGCCCTATTAATTTGCACACAAAAAAAAATTACACCTTTCAAATCAGTAGAAAGGAGCTGACCACGCCCACTTTAAAGTTTTGTTTTATCTCAACGGCCGCTATACCGCATCTATGCCTCAAAACGAGTCTACGATACGAATGAGTGTAACATACAAAGAGTCAAATGAGTTAGTTGAATGAGCTGACTCCTTAAAGTGAGTTGGAGTCATTGAGTCAACTCCTATAAATTTGCTGAGTTACCCACCCTTACTGCATTCAACAAAATACAGGGACCGCATTCGAATGTACATACATACATATGTACTTGTATATTAAATGAATGCATCTTAGTTTGATCACAAATCCACATACATACATACAATACACATACATATGTGTGTACCTTAAGGGCGGATTTAAAAAAGTTTGTAGAAAATTGTGTGTTGCTTTCTTAAAATGTCACACTCTTATAAGAGAACACAAACTCTTGGCTTAATCCTTATCCATCGTCCTGAAATATACTAACCAGAAACGCGATTTCTTTATAAAAAAAAAGAAAACCGTTTTGAAATGTTAATGTTTTTACTCTCTAGAAAATAATTTTTGCAACCTCACATAAGCGGTTTTGCATTATTTTTATACGCGGTTTTGCATTTTGTTGATACGCGGTTTTGTATTTTAAACGACGATATATTGGTCATTCCAAGTAAAACGCGAAAATGATGTAAATTTTAAAATGCCTCAATTATAAATATATACCTATTTCACTAGTAAGCTCTTGATAAATGACTACATTTCATTAATATGTTAAAAATTTTACAAAATAAATATAATTATTGTCTATAGAAACTTTTACTTTATACATAATTACCATGATAAAAATATAGTAAGGTAAAACCGCTGAGAGTCGCTTTTAAAATTCTTGACGTTTCCAAACAATTTAATTTTTAAATTTACTCACAAACTCACACACACATTTTCATTTTCAATCTCAAGCAACAACAATTTCGAACAATTTCAATTTTTTATTTTCACTTTTATATGATTTTAAAATGTTGGCAAACTTCAAAAAAAAATCATGGCCGACAAATTGAGAGAACGGTTCTACCTTGCTATGTTTTTATCATGATAATTACTTTACACCAGTCACAAGGGCCGGTCCCATCAGTCACAATTTTAAATATTTTTTATTTACCTACAAATATTATATTAGCTTGAATTTTAATGAAAACGAAAGCGTATAGTATGTGTTTTACAGCACAAGGAAATCTGGATTGAAAATGAAGTATTTTGGCTAAAATTCGTGCTTGAGAGATAGAGTGATTTTCAGTGTCCCACCAGCCACATCCAATAAAATATAAGTTACAACGACCTTCGGAAATGTTTGGTATTTTTTTTTAAGGAATTATATACATTAGTTATTTATCTGCGTTAAACAATTTATTTTACTCTTCCGACGACATAGTTATACTTCACGGAGT